ACTGAGCAGGCTATGTTTATCGGTCAATACTAAGCCTTTCTTTCAAAAGCATTTCAATTGGTAGCTTAAATGACATTGATTGAGTTAAATATGTGGAAATTTTGCAGAGAAGGAAAATATCTGTCTTTATGGACATCCTAACGGGCAGTGGGAAGTTAAATCGCCTGATGAGGAGGTGCCTCCTGAACTTCCTGAGCCTACTTTAGGTATAAACTTTCCCAGAGATCAGATGCAAGCAAAGGACTGGCTAGCTCTAGTTGCTGTTCGTAGTGACTTGTGGCTAATTTCTGTTGCTTTCTTTTTTGGTGGCAGATTTCATTTCAAAAGAGCTGACAGGTATGGTTAATTGTAACTTATGAACTCAATGCTTTGAATTGCTCAGCCTATTTAATTATTGTTTCTTTTGTAATTTTTTATTCCCAAATAATCCGGGAAAAAGATGGTTCATTTTATTGGTGAACAATGCTGGGATCTGAACCTAAATTTTGGTTTTGTTATTTGTTTTCAGTATGGCTGAGGTGTTAAGAGCTCTATGTTTAAATGACTTAGAGAGTTGCAGCTCCCATTTGTTGTTTTTTCATCTTTCTTGGCCTTTGAATAATCATAATGCCAATTTGGCTTGACTTTTGAAAAGTAAAAAGGACCGTTTGCGGCCCAAAGTTGTTTATAGACTCGTTTGACTGATTTTATGAAAGTGTTTCTGGTAGTTAGAATAGCATTTAGAGGAAGTTACATTGATTTAGAGGAAGTTGATTCAATGTAACTTCCTCTAAAAGCACTTCTGAAATAGGAAGTTCTTCTAAAAAATAATTTTCAAACAAAAATTAAGACAGCTTCTTCCAAAAGCTCTTCAAAAGGAAGCAAAAGCAAAAGCAATGTGAAACGGGCTGTAAGTTTGGTAGGCAAGGTCATTCTAGTGATTCTTATCCAGTGTATACGTGAAGTGCTATGTGATCTTCTGAAAGATTTTTTTTCTCAGGATATTTATGATGCAACAGTCTCTTCCATTTCTCTTAGAGATAGAAATTACAAATAGTTAACATTTCTTTAAAAATTTTATTCTGATAATTGGTCTTTTGTTTCATAAATTATTTCTGGTATCTGGATGCAGGAATGATTTGTTCGATAGGATAAATGAACTGCCGACAATATTTGATATTGTGACTGGAGCTACAGAGGAGCAAGTGAAGGGCACATCCAAGTTAAACTCAAAAGCGGTAAAAGAGACCATCTTTTCTTTGTTTTATGTGGAATTTGTGATTGTTACTATATACTGGCACATAAATATTCACAAATTTTCAGAAAATGCGGCCTGTACCAATAATATGATTATAGATACTGCTAATGTATAACTTTTGCCATATTTATCAGTAAGTGGAACGTTGCTGCCGAAAATTATTGATTGGTACAGGCCATTGTCTGACTGGGCATGTAACTTATGGTTCATTTTGTTCCTAGGTGCTGGTGATAAAAAACTGGATGAAACTGATTTCACTCACTCACTCACTCACTCTCTCGCTCGTAAATAAATACAAAAATAGAAGTTAAATGCAGTTGATTATGGTGAAAAATAAAGGAAAATAATGAATATCAAAATCTATCTTGTAGGTTTGTTTGCACTTTCTACACTTGCTTCCCTTGTGCTTTATCTTTGAAATTTGTGTACAAGCATTTTCTGGTATTTTATGCGTGGAAATCCTTGATCAAATATGTGCCTGTGTAATCCTCTACACGAAAATATTTGCTTCAACCCCTTCCCATCTGTTCAGTTTTCTCTTGGCTGGGGATCATCTCTGCTCGTGGCACACTCTCTTCACCTATCTTTTTTAGTATATAGTTGATTTGGCTTGTGCAGTACTTGAGTTGCAAGGATAATGAAGAGTTTCTCTACAGAGTGTTAGTTGAATATTACACTTTTGGATTAGTCTTTTTCTCCCCTTATTAATCGTTGCTTTGTTCCCAGTACATTTTTCCATGGCAAGATGCATTAAACAATGTTGTGCTGAGATGCTGTTTGCATTAGTAACCAACCACTGCTCTAGTTTCTGCATTTATTCACCTCACAATGAGCATTAATTCTCTAGGAAGAAAGAATATTGGTGAACCATTGGTAAATTCTTAAGTTACATGGCGTTTTCAACTTGATCAAGTAGTTCGTGTATCATGCTTCTTCAGCAGAATAGTTGGAGATTTGTAGCATGTGTAACACATCTTCATTGTAGGATGCAGGTTCTGTTTTATTTTTATTATCCTCGCACAAATACTGCATCCCATGGTTGATTTTTCTAACAGCTATCACTTCTTAGATGTTGGAGTGTTGTATATATGCCAGTGCTTAACAATATTACCTTAATAGTGTACCCTTCATATTTGCAGTAAACACAGTTTTGCGCCTCCTTTGTACGCATTTTCCTGCTGTGTGCTTTACCATTAAATATGAAAACATCGTTTTATTGAATCTTAGGCCAAAAACTCCAAGATCCAAGTCAAGTACGAGGACAAGGGCTTGGATGAAGAGGAGAATGATGAAACCTTGTGTGGAGCATGTAATGAACTCTATGTTGAGGATGAATTTTGGATCTTCTGTGATGTATGTAAGAGATGGTTCCATGGCAAGTGCGTTAACATGACTCCTGCTCGTGCTGAATATATCAAGCAATACAAATGCCCAACCTGTAGTAGCAAGAAGAGAGCACGCCCTTGGAATGCTCTATGATTAAGGTACTTGGTTTACAAATCTTTTATTCCTATCTTTTTCTGAACACGGCTAACTGTGTTATTGGTACATTGGGAACAATAACAGGGATGACCGCTATAATGTTGCTAGTCGGCTTTATCTAGATAGTTACTCTGGGTGTCCGCCCATATGAATCTGAATTATGGGTTATGTAGAGATTTTCCTCTTGCATGTGTGTGTGTGTGTGTGTGTGTGTATATATATATCTCTTTATGTTAATTCACAATTTTTATCTTAAATAACGATGATTTAGGAACTAATTGAGTTGCAGTTGAAAATATTGGTTTTAAGCAACTTAATTGCATCTCAAGATACTGTTCTCTCTATTGCATCCAATCTCAGCTCAGGTTGCATTGTTGGTTCACAAGGACCTCCTATGAGATGTAAAGTGGCTCGGCCAGGGTGCTCAAAAAGTGAGGCCTGACTCTGCCTGCAAGCATGGCAAGTTGTCGGACCATGCTGAACCCCTTGGACCAGGTTTAACCAGCTTCTAGGGCAGTAGGGCTTCGACTACAAATAACTGCTAGTAGGACCAAGAATGCAAATGGTAAAGATGAGAAAAGTTAGTGGAAAGGTTGTAAGAAAAATCATAAAACAAGGAGAATGTGGGGCTAAAATGTAGGAAAAAATTTAGGGTTCATATGTAAAATATTTTATTGCGAGAATGTAATTGAAAATGAGTTTAAGAAAAAAAGTTTTACTTTAATGGTTATCAAACAATGGCTAAATTAAACATCAGTCACCTAATTTAACTTTCTATATTTTGTTTTGGAACATATCTTGTAATCTAAAATCCTTGCGAGTTGTGACTAATAAGAGTTTAATCACCTTCCTTCTGTAAACTTCGGCAAATTCGTGTAGATTGAATCACCAAGTAAAGAGGAGAAGCATGAATTCAACTGTGAATTGAGTGGGTTCGTGACTACCCTCCATTATTTGTGTGATTTTTTACATATGAAGAATATGTCAATGAGTAGAAAGAAGTTCGGGTGAAGCTAGATTGATCAATCCAAAATATATTATTTCACTGAAATTTAGACATGACATTGTATTAGAGTAATGCTATTTAACCTAACTAGTATTGAACACCAGTTTTGTGACAGTATCGGTGATATTAAATTATGAATAATGCTATGTAGCTCTACTGAGGTTACAATTCCAATTTAGGTGGCGCTAGATGATAGAATAAATGAATTTTATTTATCATTTAATGTCATTGATACCATCTGGACTGAAGTTTCAGTCCGTTTTGAGGGGGCAAAGTTCTTATGAGGATTTGTACGCTAGATGAAGTTTCCTAGACTATTTGACTTCCCAACGTTTGACCTTCTAGAAATTCCAATATGTGAATAATGCTTCCACCTAAAAAGGTTCCCTCCCCGCTCACACTTAGCATAACTTTTCACACTTATGTAAACAGGCGTGAATTTCAAGGCTCGTAGAACATTCCAAGAACAAATTCTTGTAATCTTTCGTGTTCCTTCTTTTATTTTTACAATTGAATGCTTAACGAGGAATAATAGAACTAAGCAAAATGAATACATACTACCGACATCTCTACAACTTAAACCCTATTAGAAAATGAAAAAGTGAACGATGAACTTACGATCAAAGAAACCTATAGTTATTTAACAAAAAATATAAAGAAATGCTTAACAATTCGGACAGGTTCATGTAATTAGGGTGTGTTTGAGTCACATTATTTTGGAAGGATATATTTTAGAATAGTAGATTGATGGAAAATTTGTGGTTGAAAAAGAAGGAAAAATTATTGACTTGATGAAAAATATTATTTTATTGAAAAATATATAGTTGAAAATTAATAGAAAAATAAAAATGAAAATTTTAACGTAGGTCAAACAGCGACTTAATATATTATTAGTCATTTTCAATTCTTGTTTTGTTGTAAAATCAATAACGCATAAATCGTTGCAAGTTGCATGTGAAAGTTCCAATTTTCCTTTCATTTCATCTCACATAGCGTAATTGACAGTGACATAAATTTTTAGGGTCAAACATTTATGGGTCGTTGCATCTAGAAAAAATGTAACGGGATCCACTGCAATTTTTCCCACCAATTAACAGCTCCCTTCTTAACTTTCTTCTTTGACGGCTGCTACTCGACTCCGAATAAAGGATGCCGAATCAAGAAAATAACGAAATCGCATAAAGATTTATGGGTGGAAGCAGAGAATCCATATCTGAAGTGTACGAAGAACAGATGATGTTGGTACAGTCAAGAGTTTTTAGATAGCGAAAGAGAATGGAGAAAAAATTATCAGAGGCATCTTTACAAGGAAAAGTAGAGTTATTACATCAAATTTTGGAAGAAGATCCATTGATATTAGATAAAATCATAGTTTTATGTATCTCACAAACGCCTCTTCATACCGCCTCCATGTTAGGCCACTTAAATTTCGTGAAAGAATTGCTAAATCGGAAGCCCGAGTTGGCCGCTGAGTTGGATTCTAATGGCTGCTCGCCGCTGCACTTGGCGGCGGCGAAGGGACACGTGGATATCGTAAAGGAGCTTCTGAGTGCAGATTCTGAGGTGGGTTTTGTACGGAATTTAGATGGGAGGACTGCTTTGCATGTTGCGGTGATCAAGGGGAGGGCGGCGGCAGCGACTGAGTTGGTCCGAGTTGTTCCTGAGTTGAGCAGGGTTCTGACTGACCGAGGCGAGACGTGTTTACATCTCTGTGTGAAGTATATTAGGGTGGAAATGTTACAGAATTTGGCTGAGGCAATGAAGAAATTAGATGGGGATTTGGTGAATTGGAAGGATTGTGATGGGAATTCGATTCTGCATATTGCAGTGGCTAAGAAGCAAATTGAGGTTTGTATTTATTTTCTTGATTTTCCCCTGTTTAACATACTAACAAGAACATTAAGTTACGTGTCAATTGGTTAATCAATATGCCCAAATTTGAACAACAAAAAACATTAGGATTTATGTTCAATAATACACAAGAACAGGGGAAACGAAGAAGAGGACACATCTAGATGGTCAAAATCATGCTTCTTTGATGCCAAGAAAAAGAATTGTGGCATGTAGTGTGTAAATTTCACGTGGTTAGACACGGAGACTTTCTTCGGGAATTAAGCTACTCGCCCTAAAAGGTTAACCTTTAGGGGTCGAAAACACAAAGTTGATATGGGTGAAATAATATGGTTTTAATCATGGGGCATAACTATAAGAGGGATCAACTATATCACAAATTACTGTTTGAATTTGAGAATTAAGCAGATAGGCTCGAATTCTTTGGTTTCCAATAGGAACTACATGTTCTAATTAATTGTAATCTTGTTACTCTTGAGCAGATCATCGACTCTTTGCTTGAGTTGAATGGATTGGAAATGAATGCCTTGAATAAGAATGGATTGACAGCTTTGGATATATTAAATCAAAGCCCGAGAGACCTAAGAGATATGGAAATCCATAATTCCCTTCAAAATGCCCGTGCTTCTAGTGTGAAGGATTTGCATTTGATCAGGGAAGATTGGATACCAGAAAAAGTTAGGCAGAACGCGACAAGACTATCCTCGCTGCAAAGCAATGCAAGACTATCCTCGCTGCAAAGCAATGCAAAGAAGCCAGTTGTAAAGCCCAAGCACACTGACTGGCTAGGTAGGAGACGTAGTGCATTAATGGTGGTTGCGTCTTTGATTGCAACTGTGGCATTTCAAGCTGGACTAACCCCGCCTGGCGGTGTCTGGCAGGATGATTATACAGTAGACGAAAATGGGAACCCAGTTAGTGATCCTCACACTGTTGGGCATTCGATAATGGCTTACAAAAACCCTAAAGAGTATGGAATATTCATGATTTTTAACACGATTGCTTTCCTTTCGTCGTTAAGTATAATACTCCTCCTAGTTAGCGGTCTGCCTTTGAATCGAAGGCGTTGGATGTGGGTTCAAATGGTAATAGTGTGGATCGCAATTAGTGCTCAGGTCGCCACTTACTTCTTGACACTCCGGCATATGTCACCCAGTGACGTCGAGGGCATATTACGTGAAGTTACCCAAATATCAGTCTTAACATGGTTGACTCTCATGGGTGTTGTTTTCATAGGAAATATGGTTCGTATGAATTTGTGGGTTCTGAGAAAGTATGGATACATTAAACAAAAAGAGAACCATCCAGACACAATTGAGGATAATCAGGACGATGTATTCGATTAGTATTCGTCTAATGTTTGTATAATGTTGTTTTCATATGAATCTTGTTGGATTTTTTGGTTTGTTGTTCATTTTGCCTTGTTGTCATATGAACTGTAAAATTCATATCATGACAGAAAAGGGAACGTGTATGTCAAATTTTGCTAGTCATTGATTTGTGTTCAAACATGATTTATTTATGACATTTAAGTATTGACAATGCAGCAGTGAACTAGAAAACACGAGCAATTCATGTATCTTCATATTTTTTTTCGTTTTTCTTTAAACTCGACGATGAATCTTTCTTGTATGTTTATTCTCCCATGTTGTATAACTAACAGCTCAGTAGGGACAAAATATTTTAACCTACTTTTGAGCATTAATTTGAATTATCACGCGTATCTTCAATTGATGATGTGGATTATTTTTACATTCTCCCATGTTGTATAACTAAACGATCAGTTGGGACAAAATATTTTAACCTACTTTTGAGCATTAATTTGAATTATCACGCGTATCTTCAATTGATGATGTGGATTATTTTTACATCTATTATTCATGAATTTGAATTAATTAGTCATTATTTTTGAACGGTAATGAGTCAATAGGTTGTTACGGGATTTGATTTGTACTATTTTTGGGATGTTTCCTTTATGTCTAGATTGTATATAGCAGATAATTAGGCTGTAAATAACGTTGGCAATACTTACCTTATATAGCATTTAGGCGCTGAAAATCAGGCAATCACTATGTAAATCTCTTCTATATAATGGAAGCAAACGGGATGGAAAGGGCATTCAGACCAATTTGTCATGGTATCAGAGCCCCTATTCTGTTATTCATCTCTGTGGTTTTAATCACTCGTGTGTTACAGGAAGATTTTTTTTCTTGCTCTTGGTGTGTCGGCATTTTTTGTGGTCATCGATCTCGTGGGTTCCTTGTTTTGTGGCAGTCGATCTTCTCTGTGGTGGCGTTCGACGTTTTTCTATGGTGGTTGAGCGGTGTTTGGCCCTCTCTGTGGTGCCCATTGCTCTGTTTCTAGGCAGTCCTCTCTTTCGGTGCTTCCATTGTGGTGGTTGGGTTGCCGTGGGCACGTCGGCTCTCTCTGTGGTAGACGGGAAGTTCTGTGGTGGTTGCGAAGTGGTTCGCTGGCTGGGCATTCTCTCCGTGTGAACTCGGCATTCTCTGTTTATCGATTCTCTGTTGCCAACGTACTAACTGGGCAGGTATCATTTTTTGAGCTCTCTTATTGTGTTGCTTGGGCCTGATTAACTTGTCCCCGTGGGCTTTTGTCATTTTCATTTCTTATTGGGGCCTCTCCTTCACTTGACGTTGGAACTGCTTTGCTTTGGGCTTGCTGTTAGTTTTTTTACTGCTTGGGCTGATTTTGTTATCCGTAACTTTCATCATGTCTACGGAAAATAATATTATTCGTTTTACTGGCAAGAATTTTTCTACGTGGGAATTTCAATTTAAAATGTTCTTGAAAGGGAAAAAATTATCGAATCATATTGATAGCTCTATTCGAGTTCCCACTGATGAAAAGGAATTTGCCCAATGGGAGGTCAAGGATGCTAAGGTGATCTCTTGGCTATTGGGTATGATTGAGCCCCATCTTGTCACCAATCTTCGGTGTTTTACTACGGCTCAAGCTATGTGGGCCTATCTGCATCGTATTTATCACCAAGACCACAGTGCTCGAAAATTTCAATTGGAGTTGGAAATTAGCGATTACACTCAAGGTAATTTGACCATTGAGCAATTTTATTCTGGTTTTATTAATATTTGGAGCGACTGTTCTGCTCTTGTCCATGCTAAGGTTCCCACCGTAGCCCTTGCGGCTCTTCAAGCGGTTCATGCTGAGAGTCAACGCGATCAATTTTTGATGAAGCTTCGCCTTGAATTTGAGCCTGTTCGAGCCAGTTTATTGAACCGTAATCCAGTTCCTTCCTTGGATATTTGCTTGGGAGATTTAGTGCGTGAGGAGCAATGTTTATCCACTCAGATAGGTATGACTTCTGAGAAAGTGTTTTCTGAGGCTGTGAATGTAGCCTATGCAGCACAAGGGAGAGGAGGGAACAAGTTGCAGTGTTTCAGTTGCAAGGAGATCGGTCACATTGCTCGCAACTGTCCGAAGAAAGTTTGTAACTACTGCAAGAAAGAGGGCCATCTCATTAAAGACTGTCGCGTGCGGCCTCAGAATCGCCAATCTCAAGCTTTTCAAGCTGCTGTTCAGTCCTCATCTTCTTCTGCGCCCCCCCGCTGTCAGCTCTGCTTCATCTATACTCACGCCTGCCATGGTTCAACAGATGATTGTGTCTGCTTTTACGGCTTTAGGCCTACAAGGTACAGCTCCTACCTCTACTTCTTCTTGGATTGTTGATTCGGGTGCCTCTAATCATATGATTGGTAGTACGACGGGTCTCCATGGTGTTCGTAAGTATGGTGGCACGCAAACTATTCAGATTGCTGATGGCAGTACACTTCCTATTACTGCTGTTGGTACTTTGGGTTCTTCATTTCGAAATGTTTTTGTCTCTCCTGGATTATCTACCAATTTGATTTCTGTTGGACAATTGGTGGATAATAATTGTGATGTTCATTTCTCTCGTGGTGGTTGTCTTGTGCAGGATCAGGTGTCGGGGACGGTGATCGCGAAGGGGCCTAAAGTGGGACGTTTATTTCCTTTACAATTTTCTATTCCTAATGTTGTTTCTTTTGCTTGTACGGCTACTGCCAAGAATAATGAAGTATGGCATAAGAAATTGGGTCATCCCAATTCTGTTGTCTTGACTCATCTTTTGAAACATGGTTTTTTGGGCAATAAAGAATCTTTTTCTTCGTCTCCTGTATCTTTTGATTGTGCTACTTGTCGTCTTGGTAAAAGTAAAACATTACCTTTTCTTGCGCATGGTAGTCATGCTTCTACTTGCTTTGAGATTGTGCATACTGATGTTTGGGGTGTCAGTCCTATTATTTCTCATGGGCAGTATCGTTATTTTGTGACGTTTATCGATGATTATAGTCTATTTACTTGGATCTATTTTCTCCGTTCTAAAGCTGACGTGTTCTCTGTTTTTCGAACATTTGTTGCACTTGTCGAGACACAGTTCAGTACTTGTATCAAAACCTTACGCTCCGACTCAGGGGGGGAATACATGTCTCATTCCTTTCAGACTTATCTTCAACAAAAAGGGATCATTTCTCAGCGTTCTTGTCCTTATACCCTCAACAAAATGGAGTCGCTGAGCGTAAGAATCGTCATCTCTTAGATGTTGTTCGTACTTTGCTGATTGATTCATCTGTACCTTCTAAGTTCTGGGTAGAAGCTTTATCTACTGCTGTTTATTTGATCAATCATTTGCCTACTGCTACTCTAAATTATGATTCTCCCTATCTTCGATTATTTGGCATATCTCCTGAGTATCAATCCTTACTTTTGGGTGTGTTTGTTTTGTTCATCTGCCACCTATTGATCGTCACAAGCTTGCTGCCCAGTATGTCACATGTGCCTTTATGGGATATAGCCCTACTCAGAAAGGATTTGTTTGTTATGATGCTCATGCAAACAAATTCTGAATCTCCCGAAATGTGATTTTCTTTGAAAATCAATATTTCTTTCAGTCTCAGGTTATTTCTGATCCTCATATTACTCTTCTACCCGCTTTTGATGATGAGCCTACTTCTATTGAGCGATTTAAACCAGGTATGGTGTACCATAGACGTCCTCCTTCAGCGCCTCTTCCAGACACTGATCCGTCATCTGATTCTACGCCTCTGATACGTCAGCGCTCCACCAGGGTTCCACATCCACCTGATAGGTATGGTTTTTCTCATACCTCGCTTACTGCCACTCTTGATACTGTTTCTGTTCCTCACTCTTATACTCAGGCAGCCACCCAAGCATGTTGGCAGCAGGCCATGCAAGAAGAAATCCAAGCTCTTCAAGACAATCATACTTGGGATCTTGTGATTTGTCCCTCTGGTGTCAAACCTATTGGTTGTAAATGGGTATACTCAGTCAAGTTTCGGTCTGATGGCTCACTGGACCGATATAAGGCCCGTCTTGTGGCTCTTGGGAACCGACAGGAGTATGGTATCGATTATGAAGAGACATTTGCACCTGTTGCTAAAATGACTACTGTACGGATTATCTTGGCACTTGCTGCGTCTCAGGGGTGGTCTCTCTGGCAGATGGACGTGAAGAATGCTTTTTTACATGGGGATTTGAAGGAAGAAATTTATATGTCTCCACCTCCTGGCATGTTTACTACACCTTCCTCAGAGGTTTGTCGGTTACGCCGATCTTTGTATGGTTTGAAACAAGCTCCGCGTGCATGGTTTGATAAATTTCGCTCTCCTCTGCTTGCTTTTCACTTTACTCAGAGTCAGTTTGATTCCTCTCTGTTTCTTCGCAAGACTTCTGCAGGGATTGCATTGCTTCTAGTATATGTTGACGATATTGTGATTACAGGCTGTGATACTGAGTTACTTCAGCACTTACAACAGCATCTCAAGGCCTCTTTTCACATGAAAGATCTTGGTCCCTTGCAATACTTTCTTGGCCTTGAGGTCCAGATTACTCCGACTGGTACATTGTTACATCAGCACAAATACACAGAGGAAGTAATTTCATTAGCTGGTCTCCAATTGGGTAATTTTGTTCTTACTCCCTTGGAGGTAAATCTTAAGCTTTGTCAGGAGGAAGGCGAGCTTCTATCAGATCCATCCGTGTATCGGCAACTCGTTGGGAGTTTGAACTATTTGACGATTACTCGTCCTGACATTTCTTTTGCTGTGCAGCAAGTCAGTCAATTTATGCAGGCCCCTCGACACCTTCACCTTGCCGCTGTTCGCCGCATTATCCGATATCTGAAGGGCACCTCTCCACGCGGGTTGTTCTTTCCTAATGAATCTTCCTTACAGTTGGTAGGGTATTGTGACGCTGACTGGGCCGGCTGTGCAGATACTCGTCGCTCTGTTATTGGCCGGTGCATGTTTTTAGGCAATGCACTCATTTCGTGGAAGAGTAAGAAGCAAGACAGAGTTTCCAAGTCCTCCACAGAGTCTGAATATCGTGCTATGTCTTCCGCCTGCTCTGAGATCACATGGCTTCGTGGGTTATTGGGTGAACTTGGTTTTCCTCAGCTTCATTCCACTCCTCTTCATGCTGATAATACTAGTGCTATTCAGATCGCTGCCAATCCTGTCTTCCATGAGCGTACGAAACATATCGAAGTCGACTGTCATTCCATACGTGAATCCTTTGACAGACATGTGAATACACTTCCTCACATTTCCACCGAACATCAAACTGCAGACATCTTCACTAAAGCTCTTTCTCGGCACCGGCATCAATTCTTAGTTGACAAATTGATGCTTCTCGATCTACCAGCATCAATTTGAGGGGGGATGTTACGGGATTTGATTTGTACTATTTTTGGGATGTTTTCCTTTATGTCTAGATTGTATATAGCAGATAATTAGGCTGTAAATAACATTGGCAATACTTATATAGCATTTAAGCGCTGAAAATCAGGCAATCACTATGTAAATCTCTTCTATATAATGGAAGCAAACGGGATGGAAAGGGCATTCAGACCAATTTGTCATAGGTGAGTCTTGTTTGCACAGCGTAGTAAAAATCTTAATCTAGGTAGAAGGTAAAGATACGCTTTTACTAATTTTACGGCCCTTAATTGAATTTTTTGTTGATTGCATACTCTTGATTAGGATTTACCTTGATTCACGTAGAGTTATAATACGTTGACTTAATTGAATATAATTGGTTTGACCCCGAAAGACGTAAATTAATTAATTTAGAAGAATTCGATTAAGTAAACAATAATTGATTGTTGTAAGAATATAATGATTGAGATTAAGGGGATAACTATAGTGAACTCATGAATTCAACACTTTTCATTAATCAAGTAAAACCCTATAATTGTCGTTTTGTGCACTTTTTATTTAGTTCATAGGCATCTAATGTTTAGGATAAAATTAAACTCAAATTTAATTGTTTTTATTCAAATAGAAGTTATGAATAGTTAAACCAACAATTAAATAGTGGTTCTCGTGAAAACGATAATTCGGACTCTTAGGTCCACTTATTATTTATTAACGATATCGTACATTTACAATAGAACTCACGCAACAATGAAATCAGTGATGAG